ATAAATTTTAAAAACCCATTGAGGGCCAGGGATTTAGCTCAGTGGTTCCACCACCTGCTTTGCAAGCCCAAAGACCCGAGTTCAATCCCTGATACACCCCCAAATAAATAAATAAATAAAATAAAAAACCCATTGATGCTTTATTTCAAATGTATTATATATTGATAAAAAAGCCATACTTAAACTCTGGAATATTTTTGCCATCTTAGTCTATCATGCTATCATATTTGAGTTTGATGAGTACTTTTGTGGGTAGGTTTTGTCCTTTTAAGGAATTACTTAACTTTTGAAGGAATTGATTTCATAATTGCCCAAATAAAAGTGTTTTATTTCCATGAACTTGGGTATGAGATAAATGTTTTATTCATTTTATAATCTTAGTAGTGCTTAGAAAATACAGAGGAAAAACATAATATTTTCAGTTTTCATCTCATAGTCATCTTACTCAACAAATCATTTGCCAGTAGTGTTCCAGGAAAACTGTTAAATTTGTCTTTAGTGTTAATGTATTCATAAAGGTCGGTGGTATAGCCAGATACTGTGCCAGGAGTATGGAGGAGCAAAAGAGCACAAACACACCTGATGGTGAATCCCAGCCTTTTCCCTATTAGCTTTGGGGTTTCAAGCTTAACTTTTGGACTTTAGCTTCCTTATCTTTTAATGAGGATAACATGTCATATGCTCTTTTTTTAAAAGAGAAGAACAGAGAATTATTAGATAACTTCTGTTTTCCCTCTTTGTTTTGACTGGAGTTCTAATAGAATCCTTTATGAGCTACTTTTCCCACCTCTTTCCTTAACCCCATCATACCCTGTGCCTGGCTCTATGCCAGTTACTGTAACTTGCTGTTACCATTTTCTCTCTTCTACAGAGATCCATTAAGGATAGGGATCCTGGTACATAGGTGATGTTGTTTAATAAAATGCACAGATAATGGCTTCAGGTTTTCTTAGGAATTTCCTTACAGGCAATTGCTGTTTAGTAGTATAGTTACTGCACCTGTGCCACCTAGTGGTTATGGAGATTAACCACAGGTAGCCTCTATAGATAAATCATCTGTGTTTACCTATAGCCTCCTATCCTCTACCCAATCCACCCAACCAGCTGTGGATTATGGGGGGGTAATCATGATGGTGGTGGTCTCCACCTTTTTGGATTTAGAGCATATTGTGACCAACTGGCTCTACCCATATTTTAGGACAGGTTCAAAATAAAGATACATTGAGGATTATACCAAACAAAAATTACGTTAATGAAAAACTTTATTGTAAAAAGTGGTCCAATTTCTAGAAGTTTGGGTTGCTGGCAGTTTGAACAAATAGAAGCCATGAAAGACAAAAACTTCAAAGTGGCAGAAGGGCCAGGCCTACATGATTTTATTGGTTGAATGGCTAGCTTCTTCCTTTGGCTGGTGCTTGTCCTTTTTAAGTGATAAATTATAGTTAACCCTGTATTGGTATCAAGAGTATTCCATCAGTTATCCCTGGGCTTACAGTCCTTCACCCAGAGCATCTTGTATGACACTTTGGTTAGATCTCTGGTTGGCACCATTTTCCACCATAGCATTTGGTGTCACAATTTGCTGCCAAATTCCAGTAGTCCTGCCCAGGAGGAGAAGGGACAAAAGCACGAGTTTAATTGTCTTGCTTTGACTTTGACAGATAGTACAGTCTCACTCTATCAAATGCAGAATGACAGTTAAAGATAGTTTCTATTATCACCTATAGTTTCATATATTTATTAAAAACTTTTATTATTTGTTTTATGGCTAGAGCTACTGCTCCCTTGGAAGTAGTTGCAAGATTCTTTATTATTCATTAAAGAATAAAAAAGTAAAAACAGCAAAATCTGAATCAAAAGTAAAACTGGAAACTCACCAATGCCTATTGTTTTCTTTTAGCAGATCCAAGTTAGGATCATGGGTAGAGCCAGTAGTAACGAAGGAGAAAAGAGGACAGGTTGAATGCTGAAAACCAACCTTATTATTTGTAGATCATAGTCTATCCTTTTTAAAAAAGTAAATAATTTCCCTAATGCTTGATCCCCCCCCCCGAATTTCAGGAAAACCTGATTTCAAAAAGTTACATACCTGGAAAAGTAGCAGTCTACCATTACCACTTAGACTTAACCTTGTGGGGTGAGGGTGTGTGTCGGGGGAGACATTGCCCTCGCACTTATTTCTCCTTAGATGAAAGTAATAGAACCTCACCAAAACATTAAAAATGGTAGGTATTTGTTATTTTCTTTTTTTAGGTAGGAAAGGGTGGTGATTCAAGCGCTGTGCCTGAGGAAGTTTGGAGAAACTGCATGTCTCTGATGAAAAAGTTCTGACTTAAAGTTCTATTTTGCCCTGCTGGTCACAGTGAGAAGTCTAAGCCTGTGAGTCTTTGTTCCATGTGATTGTTCATGGTTTTAGGTTTCTTCCATCTTGTTTGCTCTTCTCCAAAATGTCGCTCCCATTGGCAGCATTACAACTGGTGGCTGTTTGGTCAATTCTAGGCCATAGGAAAGGGGAACCTCATTTAGCCACAAGCAAATCATTTCCTTTTAAGTGTTGTAAATGTTGTATGGTTGCTTCTAGCCATATTGTATTGGTGAAAACTTGCCATGCTTAACTGCAAAGAAGTTTGGGAAATAGTCTCAGGCTGAGCCAGATATGGGCCCTCTTAAACCTTTAATAATATAGAAGAAGGAGAATAAAATTTTTGTCTGTTGAATATTTTCTATAGGGTTATGTGCCTCAGATTAATTTGTAAAGTTCTTCAGATTTTCTGAATTTGAATACCTTTTTGGGGATATGAACTGCATGTATTGTTTTTCTCGTCTGTGTTATATTCATTTTGTTTATGGCATCTTCGGCTGTACAGAAATTTAAAGTTTAATGTAAAACTTGCAAGTTTTTTTGGGGGGGCCTTTTTGTTACAAATTTATTTGTAGATTTGACTGGTTTTTCTATTAGTTTTGTCTCTGTGGGTAGATGGGAGACTGATTATTACGTTACCCCATAAGCAGTCAACTTTTCCTTTTTTGTGGGGGGTTTTATTTTATGCATAATCCAGGCTGTCTCAAACTTGTGATCCTCCTGTCTCAGCCTTCTGAGTGCTGGGGGTTACAGACATGCTCCACCATGGCGGTCTTATAGTCAGCTTTTACATTTCAAGTTAAAAAAGAGAAGAGAAACATGTTTTAACTGTGAAAACCCAAACTGTCTGTTTTATTCAATGGGATTTACAATTCTTTGTGTGTTTTTTTTTTAAACAACAAAATTGTTATCAAAATTGTTCATTTTTGGGGGAATGCTTCCCTAAAATTTGTTTTGAATTTAGAAGATACTTGTAAAAATAGGAAATCAGATTGAAGTGCTGATATAAGAGATCAAGTTTGGTGTGAAATGTAGTGGCCAAGCTATTAGATATTTCAGGTGAGCAGTGAAAATGTTGTCTGGAATGGAGGAGAGGAGTTGATGCCAAAGATGTGGACTCAAAGACCATAAGGTCTAGGGTAGGCTATTGCACAAGAGTATAAAGACATGTAGGGAGCTGCACTTTCATTTAGAAGTCTGAAAGAATCAGCTGCAGAGACAGATTGTATACTATATAATCTTCATTACCTTATGTGATACATGATAGTTTCCTAATTTTGTAGGTGAGTAAAGAGATATGACTTCTATGTTTTGTTTTTTGTTTTTTGTTTGGTACCGGTGATTGAACTCGGGTCTTTGTGTTTGTGAGGCAGGCAGTGGCACCACTGAGCTAAACCCCTGGCCCTACTTTTATGTATTGTTGAATGGCGAGTTGATTGGCAAGTTGGTACTTGGGACCAGTCCTTTATGATTCCAAATCCTGCATTGATCCATTGTATCCCCTTGTTTGTTAAATTTGAAGAACATTTTTATGAAGAGAAGGTAGGTAGTCCTGTGTGAAAGGAATTCTGGGGTGTTTGAGGACTTGCTAGAAGCCCCTGGACTGTCAGTTCTGTTGCCTTCTGTGCTGATGAGAACAGTTGTTTAGTAGGAAGACAGGTGTGTGTATTAGAGAGGGTTAGTTGAGGGGCAAGGTAATACAGAGTTCATTTACTCCAGTATGCCATTTCATGAAATTTGGTGGTGAAAGGAGGGAAACACGGAGAGGAAGATGCAGGATTTTAATATATGTTTGTTGAGGTAGAGCAGGGAGATGTACAAAACTCTAAATAAATTTGTAGTTAGGAAAGAAAGATTCAGGGTCAGGGAGTTAGCGCAGTGGTCCCACCTGCTTGGCAAGCACAAGTTCCTGAATTTGATTCTCGGTACTGGGGGGAAAAGAAAAGAAAAAAAGAAAGATTCAGCTAAGCATGTGGAATTGCATGAGGAACATTGGTAATAGAGCTTGAAAGACAGAAAAAATAGAATATTTTTATTTAAAGAGTAGGATGATGGTTGAAATGGAGGTGTTTGAAAATCCTCTCAGCAGTTGGATGTTCCTGAGAAGGTATGTATGAGGGATCTGGTGCTAGAGTCCTGTGGAGAATTAGAAATACTAGTACAATCAAGGTGTGTTCTTTGAAATATTTAACTTTTTAGAATGACCGATAATTAGAATGCATAATGATTTTAAATTAGTGGTACATTCAATTCATAAAATTGAAACTAGAAAAATGAGTCACATTAAAATAATTTTTTCTGTAGAACAATTGCTATAATCTTGAAAGTAAGGTTCTTAATGGTTAGAACTAGAATGAAACTTCTCTGAGTTACTTGTTCTTTGGGCACAAGGAAATGTATACCATGCTTTATAGACATTTATCATTTTTAGTATAGAATAAATATAAACAATGTCTTTAAGTATCAACTTTTCCTGTATTACCGAAACAATGCCTTTAATGATATACTTTTCCTGTATTACCAAGTATTATCATTTGTTGATTCTTTTTCCATTGTTGTATATGCTTTGTAGGTAATTTCACCAATGATTAATATAAACACAAAAATAATTATTTGTATCTTATTTATTATGAAGCAGAAATCAAAGAACATTCTGCAGAAGAGGATGCTGAAGCAGAAGTGGATAGCAGCAAGCAGTCAGTCCCTGCTGTTCAGCAGCCGGTGTCTGAGGAATCTGCAAACTCCCTGGTCTCTGTTGGTGTAGAAGCCAAAATCAGGTTAGAAAATGAATAGAGCTGAATTGGAGTTTGGTGATAGGAAAAAGGGCAGTGAGTTGGCTGCAAAGAAAATTCAGGGAGGAAAGATTTTGGATGTTAGTATGAATGGAGTTTTGTTATTTAGTAGCTTTAAATGTGAGGCTTATAAACTGTGTGGAGTTGGGGTAGAAGATGATGTGGACTTGACTGTGTAGAGCAAGGGGACTTATTATGGTGTCACTGTTGCCTCAGAGAAGTCCAGAATATGAGCAGTGTGTCATTTCTGGCTGAAGAAATAACTGGGACTATTTAGCATAAGAATTCATTTTTAAATACTTTTCTATACACTCTTAGTTCTTAAAAGAAGGAAATACAGGATGTTACAGCCTTTAATATCTAGTTCAACTTTGAAGTCTTGAATTTTTTAGGCCCTGTTCGAAAGACATGAATAAACCAGTGAAATTATCAATTTGTTAAATAGTCTCATCTTCTGAAAGTGTGTGATTTACTTTCAGTACACTTCATTTCTCATTTTGTCTCCTGTGGGTTTCTGTGGACACACTTCACCTTACCATTTTGGAGTCCTCAGGTATCTGGTCTGTTTTTTGGATTTCTTCAGTCTCTGGCAAAACTCATCTAGTCTGACACAGTGCCTGTGTATGTCCTTAGAGGAGATCCACATCTACACTCTTGTGCTAAGACTCAGGCCCATCTTACTGCTTAACAGCTTCCTCTGGAAGTGTATGAGACATCTCACCCTCAGACAAGTCCAAAATTATACTTGGTTCCATCTCTGCCTATACCTCAAATTTGTTTCTTTCCCTGATTTCTCACTTGATCTTAGTCAAAAGGCCAAGAAGCATTCTCCCTGATTTCTCCATTTCAACAATTAATACCTGTATTATTAGTTGCTTAGGCCAAAAGTTTGGAGCTAATCCTTGCGTTCTGTCTTTTGTCATATTTCATACCCAATTCAATAAATGATGTAGCTCAACTTCAGAGGATAACTCACACAACTTACTTACTGTCTTAACTGGCCATTGTGGTAAAGCCATTGTTGTCCATTAGAGACTGTTTAACTGGTCTTTCTGCTTATTCTTTTTATCTTTCTGCAGTCCAGTTTGTTTTTAGCATAGTTGCAAAAATTATCCTAAAATGTCAATTAGATTTCCTCTCCTACTATCTGCAATACTTGTCTGTTATATTTAAAGTAAATACTTATATTTAATCTGCAAGTCCTCACCATTTCCAAAGGGCATTAGGTGGCCTGGCTGTCTCTCTTACCTCGTTTGTCACTGTGCTCTCCTCACTTTTAGCTCCTTCTCTCACTCCAACACACACTGATCGTGTTTCTGTCTGAGAGCCTCTGCTTGCTCTGCTCTGTGTCATAGGACTGACCTCCCCAGAGGGACCTCCCTAACCAACTCCTTTATATACTGGTCTCCGAGTATCATGTTTACCTGGGTTTTATTAAGCCTAGGAAAGCCAGCACACATGCTGAATCTAGGTAAAGGACATACTTATGTCTGTTATACTATAGTTCTTTGTCCCCCAGTGTTTTTCGGGAGGTTTGAGTATTTTAAAATAAAAGAGTAGTAGCTTTACCTTTTCTGGTCTTTGTATGACTTTTGTTTTTAATTCTTCTGCCTTGCTTGGGTTTTTACGTTTTTTTTTTGGCAGGGGGTGGACTGGAGATTCAACTCTCAAGGCTTTCTGCCCCTGAGCTGCACCTTCTGTCCTTTTTACTTTTTTGAGATAGGGTCTTGCTAAGATATCTGTGCTGGTTTTGAACTTGAAGTCCCCTAAGTAGCTTAGATTACAAGTGTGTGCCACCACACCTGGCTAGTTTCAGGTCTTATACTTAAGTTTTTAATCTATTTTGAGATGAATTTTTTTATTTGTTGTGAAACAAGGGTCTAATTTCATTCTTTGCATTTGGATATGTTGTTTTCCCAGCAGTATTTATTGAAGAGATTGCCATTTCTCCATTGCGTGTTCCTCACATCTTTGACAAAAGTCAATTGATAGTAAATGTGTGGATTTATCTGTGGAATTTCTACTCTGTTCCAGGGGTTGATTTGTCTGTTGTTATGCCAGTACCGTGCTGGTGTGCATGTGTATGTGTGCGTGGGTGTGTTCGTTCTTTTTGTTTTGTTTCCAGTCCTAAGAATTAAACCTCACACTCTTTTATCACTGAACTACAGACCCAACCCCGCTTTTTAAATTTTTTGTTTTGAGATAGGATCTCATCAATTTGCCTAGGCCGGCTGGCTTCAAACTTTAAACCCATCTGCTTCACCTTCCATGTAGCTGCTATTAAAGGCATACATCACTGCACCTGGCTTTATCATGCTGTTTTGATTATAATTACTTTATACTATATTTTGAAGTCAGAAAATTTTTTGCCTCCAGCTTTGTTCCTTTTACTTAGATAGTTTTGACTATTTGGGTGCCTTTTGTGATTCAGTGTAAATTTAAGGATTGTATTTTCTGTTTCTGTCAAAAATGGCATTGAAATTTTGGGTGTTTTTTTTTTTGGTACTGGGGATCGAACTCAGGTCCTTGCTCTTGTGAAGCAGGCAGCGGAACCACTGAGCTGAATCCCTGGCCCCGACATTGAAATTTTGATGAAAATTACAGTATTATGGGCATATTCATTGTTCTAATTTGAGAATATGTATGGACTATCTTTTTAACTTAAAAAAATTTCATTCATCAATATTTTATAATCCCAGTGCCCATGTTTTTTTCTTATCTGTTTGGTCATATTTTCACAGAAATATTTATTTTTTGTTGTTGTTGTTGCTAGTATAAAGATTGTGTTTTTGGATATTAGTATATAAAATGATATTAATTTTTATATTCATATGTTGAAACTACTGAATTCAGATTTCAGTTCTAATAATTTTATGCTGATGTCTTTTAGAGTTTTCTATATCTATAATGTCATATTGTCAGCAGGTAGAGACAGTTTAACAACTTTTATCAGGATGTCTTTATTTCCTTCTCTTGCATAATTATTCTCTAGTACTGTCTTAAAGTTACAAAGTGGGCATTTATTATTTTATTGTTTGCATATATAGTATCTCTTCCTCATTCCATATTTTATTTGTATATTGCCTGCTTTTTTCCCTGAGATATACTTTTAAAGAAATAGGTTTTGGTTTTGTTGATCTTTGCTGCTTGGCTGTCT